GAATGGGGATGTAGAACATAGAGTGGGGCACGGGGAGACATGGGATGTGATGCGATGAGATGCGATGGTTCAGGGGAGCCGCGAGGGGATGGCTYGGTTGGGGGGACCCGGAGGTTCAGCAGATCCCAGGCCCCTGCTCAGGACCTCCTTACCTGCTCCGCACCCGCCGCTCTAGCGGCCCCCGCCTCATCACCCAGCCGCCGCCGCCGCGCTAGGCTGGGGCTGCCGCCGCCCCGGGGGCCATGGCCCGGCTCCGCCCGATCCAGCAAGGTACGGCACGGCAGGGCACAGCACGGCACGGCTCGGCCCAACGCTCTGCCGCCGCTTGTTTTCCCATAAATACGGCAGGCGGAGTTACTGGCGGGGCCGGCACCGGGACCGGAGCCTCCCCCGGCACCGCCCCCGGACCAGTCCTCATCCCCATCCTCATCCCCATCCTCATCCCCATCCCCGTCCCCGTCCCGGTCCCGGTCCCGGTCCCCGTCCCTGTCCCCGTCCCCGTCCCGGATCTGCTCGGCCCCGGTCCCGGCTCCGCCCCTACCCCTCGCAGCATCCCCCCTCCCCCCGGGACCTCCGGGCAGGGTTCGGGGGACCCCCGGCGCTTTCCCTGAGGGGCTTCCCCCGCACCATGGGTGTGAGTGCCTGCGGGACCCCCGATGCCCCCGGGGCACCCGGGCTCAGCCCCACACGAGACTCCCCGGCTCCCGCGGGCACCTGCCCTTGCACCGGCAGCCCCCCAATGTCGGCATCTCCTCAGGTCTTTCCTGCCTGACCTTGCCCCATCACCGTGRCTCTGCGCGGCCGGGGCCGACTGGGCAGCAAAATCCCCCGCTAAGCTCCTCCATGGAATGGCCTCATTTTCCCAGAGGCTCTGGGGATGTYGCTGCCTGTGGTGGCTGGAGCCCACAGAGATGCTCAGTGATGGAGACGGATGAAGGARCCACAGAACAGCTCCCAGCACATCCTGGCCCCAGCATCTCCAGCACAGCAGGGCCCCCGTGCCACAACTCTGCCTCAGTTTCCCCTTCTCACTTCCTTGAGCTACTCTCCACTGCCCATAGCACCAGGGGCAGCCCCAGTGCCTGTGGGTGCCCCGGCAAGGGGCCATGTCCCTGGGACCCACCGGGACCTGCCCTGGCTCTGAGCCATGATCCAAGGCTGCTGTTCTCCATGTGTTCCTGCATGGCAGGTGCACCCCAGGATTTGCTTGATTCAAAATCCCTGTAGTTCTGAGGGCCTTTCCTTGCTTCACTGCAGCATCAAGAACAGCTTTCCTCTCTCTCTGGTGCCTGCAGTGGGGCTGAGGGGCCTGCGGTGGACTGGCACTGCTGTGATTCCTGCAGGAATGCCCCTGGGAGCTGTGGGCATCACCGAGGCCACTGGGACCAGCAGTACGTGCCCTGCCTGAGGCCTGGCTGAGCACCAGGAACTCATTGCACCGATGAGTGGCACAAGAGCTCGGGGAGGAGCTGGGAGCAGGGTCAGCCTGTCCCTGCTGCACACACGGGCCCAAGAGACTCCAGGGACCCCTGCACCATGTTCAGATGGGCCCATCACACCCCCCACCCCCCCTCCCCCCAGTCCCCAGCACTTCCATTTTCTTCTCTGCAGGACACAGGGCTCTGGCTGCTGGTCCAGCCGCTCCTAATGCCCCCGGCTTCCTGCCCCCGCGGTCCCCGCCGYGCTGCTCCATCTGCTCCCGCCTGCTGCCGCCCGGCGCCAGCCAGCCCCGAGCACCGCCGATGTGTCCGCTGATGCWCGCGGGAGCGCCGGGCAAGCTCGGCATCCCCCATGGGTGCAATCACCGGAACCACGCAGGAGCCCATCTCTGTGGAATGCAGAGAGTCCCGGCATGGAGGAGTGTGCTGTCCTTAGGGCATCCCCTGCAGTGTCACCCTCTGTCCATGCAGCTGTAGCCCTGGGTGACACCTGCAGAGGTTGAGGTCACCTGTCCGGAGCTCTGGGCTTTGGAGCAGCCACAGCTCCAAAATCAGGTAACGAATGGACTGGACCGTGTCCCCCAAGCCCCATGACAGAGGAAAAGTGGGACCATCTGCTCCCCRTGTGTGGCTGCTATTCCAGGCTGGAATGTACTAAAGGATCCAACTGGACCATGGGMAGGTCTCCATGCACCGGAGATGGCAGCACTGTGTCATGGGGCTGTGGAGGATGGAGCTGAGGGCTGCAGTCATGTTGGCTGCTCAGGACTGTGGACTAACACTGGGCCATGCTGCTGCTTTGGGCTGTGACACAGTGGGCTCCAGTCTGGGGCACCCAGGAAGGAGAGGCAGCCCCAGCCAGCGCCACAGGCACTGAGAAGGGGTGAGAGGCAGGGCTGGGGGGCTGCCAGCTTTACGCCACAGGGGTGGCAGCCCCTCAGTAGGAGGGACCCCCTTGGTGCAGCCATGTGTGCAGCAGGCTGCTGCAGGTCAGGACTGTTCTCTACCCCTGTGCAGAGGACAGAGATGTTGGGCTCCTGCCATGGCTCTGCAGGTCCAGGCTCGTCCCTGGAGCTGCTGGTGCCCCTGGCCTGCTGGGGGAACGTGTGAGTGGCCGGAGGAATCGCACAAGCCTGGCTCATTCCTGCAGTACTGCAAGGAAAAGGCCCGTCTGGTGCCTGTCCCCAGGCAGGAGCAGCTCCTGTCCCTGTATCCAGGCTGCCCCATCGTGGCTCATTGTCAAGGCCAGGAGCAGCCAGGCTGGGCCAGAGTGGGAGCAAATCCCCCTTTCTGGGGGGTCTTCGCCTCCTTGGTGCTGAGTCCTCCTCCCCCAAACCCCATGGGGAGCAGAGCCACAATGTTCACTGTGTCCCTGTGACTCAGTTTCCCCACCAGCCCCTGAAGTATGTCCCTGGCCAAAGGATTTGCAGGTGACAGATTTAGTTCTGCTGGGCCCCATCCAAAGGGGAAACTGAGGCACAGAGGAGCAATATGCCCACAGGTCATCCTGGAGGTCTGTGGTGACTCTGGGCACTTGGCCAGACCCAAAGCAGGGCAGATCTCATCTTGGGAAGGATGTGTGGGGTCACATCTGTCCTACACAGTTGCAAAGCTGGGGGGGCGTTGGGGGCCCCCAGCCCACCCCAAAGACTGATTCATTGAGGCCATGCCGAGAGCTTGCTGTGAGGTTTGGCACTCACCTGACTCAGGATATTGGATCCTCTGATCCAGCCCTGCTGTGTCTCTTGGTGCAGCTCAGAGCAGGAAGGGGCCACCCAACCCAGGACACCCCCCACACCTGCCCCAGGTATGCTGACCCTGCTGGGGCCRGACATGGCGGCAGAGGCAGTCCCCAGACTGGGTACCCAAACTGCCCCTGCTGGGCTAGGGGCTCTCCTGGGCCAGCCTTCACATCACACCAGGAGTTGGGAGTCACTGAAGCACAAGGTCAGGGGCAGAGGAGACTGGTGGGGACCACAGGGACAAAAGCAGGAGAGCACTGCTCTGCCTGGGCTGGCATGGCGCCATTTTTAAGCTTTAGAAAGACCTTTGTGGGCATTTGCAAAACTCTGCCCGGAGGGTCAGAGCCTCACCAGGAGGCAGGTACAAGCAGGAGGAAGCGGGCAGTGAGGGGTGGCCTGCAGAAAAAGGATTTTCTCTAGGATCCCTGTGGCAAGCAGCACCTGCCCCAGCAGGGATGGAGGCCCTCCCAACATTGAGCCCAGCCTGGCATCAACWGCCCCTTGGGCAGGTTTGCCCTGTCAGCTCTGTGTGACAGCTGTGTTGGGACAGAGGGTCAGACCCTGGCCAGGTGGGGCTGACAGAACAGAGGACTGGAACCCCTCTGCTCTGCAGCCAGGCTGGGAGAGATGGGGGTGTCCAGTCTGAAGAAAAGAAGGCTCTGGGAAGATGTTAGAGCCCCTTCCAGTGCCTAAAGGGGCTCCAGGAGAGCTGGAGAGGGGCTTGGGACGAAGACATGGAGGGACAGGACGCAGGGAATGGCTTCCCAATGCTGGAGGGCRGGGATGGATGGGATATTGGGAAGGAATTGTTCCCTGGGAGGGTGGGCAGGCCCTGGCACAGGGTGCCCAGAGAAGCTGTGGCTGCCCCTGGATCCCTGGCAGTGCCCAAGGCCAGGYTGSACATTGGGGCTGGGAKCAGYCTGGGACAGTGGGAGGTGTCCCTGCCATGGCAGGGGGTGGAATGAGATGAGCTTTAACGTCCTTTCCCAAACAATTCTGTGATTCCATGACCTGACCACAAGCCCACTGAGGGTCAGTGGATCTCATACCCCTTGGAGCAGCAAGACTGCCATCAAGAATTCTTCCCATTGGTTGGGACACTGCGCAAAGGAACTCGAGGTGGAAAGTCCTTGCTGTACTGGGGAGTGATTGTACATTCTGGGTTTGCKGTCCTAAAATCTTGGGAATTCTCAAGTCAGTCAGGAATACCAATTCCATCTGACATCGCAAAGCTGTATTCAAATGTTGATGGAGCTTTAATTGGCTTACCTGCTTTATAAAATAAATCTCATTTGAAYATACCATTTGTCTCAATTTTGTAAGATCCACTGACCCTCCGGCAGCCCCAGTTTGTCAGCGGGACAGGGGCACTGGTGTGGTGATGCCAGGGGAACCCACTCTGAGACATGGCCCACTCTGAGAAAGCAAAAGGAGGAGATTCCTCGGAGAAATTCTGGAAGCRGTTGGGAAAAAATACCTGGAAGGATGTTAAACACAAAAGAACAATTTCCACCTCTGCTCTGTGCCGGGCACGTTCCTGAGGGACGACGAGATGACACATCCTCACTGATGGACGGGGCAGCCCGCCTGGTCCCACCATGCTCCGGGACCTGCCCAGCGGGATGTGACTGGCTGCAGATGCCAAGCAGCCAACAGGTCCCCAAAATGCCCAACCTGGGGAGCCGGGTGCCAAATTGCCCTCCCAGGGGTGGCCTTGCCAGTCCAGGGGACAGGGCGGGCTCATCCTGCCCACGGGTGCTCGGTCCTGTCTGGGGTGGGGGTGTGCGATGTGTCAGACCTCGCCCGCAGTTTGGGAGCCGCTGTCCCGACACGGCGATTCCCAAGYTGACTGTGCTGGGGAAGGGCCGGGTGGCCCCGACGGCAGAGCGGAGTGAGGGGAGGCAGGGCAGTTCAGCACGGGGCCCGCGATGGGAAGCGACAGCGCGGCGCTGGCACCACCAGCCTGTCCCCGGGGACACCTGCGAGACGGAGCCGGTGTCAGGGCGATTGCACCCGCGGGATGAAGGCTCCGCCAGGAACGGGCTCGGGCGCGGCTCGAGTCGAGCGTGAGCAGCTCCGGTGAGGCAGCTCCCGGTTCTCGCTCGGCTCCCGGAACGCAGCACGGAATGGGTCAGGGTACYACCCGGAGCACCGGGAGGCAACGCTGGGTC